TTATAATTTACTATTAAAATATATTTGATATCTATCATCATAATGATCTGAGTAGCACTCAAAGCAAGATATAAATTAAAAAAGGGAAGACATTATCATTGTTGGGTTTGATTCATAATAAATGAATCTATTACGTGTAAATGGCAAGGAATAAATGTAAGAATGCTACGTAAGATCAGAATGTGAAGAATTATGAGCCAGCAGTGACATTCCAGAATTTGGGGCAGCAGAATGCACAAGGCTTCCTAGAACATTCTGGCCTGCAGAAACTATGACTTGGTTTACTTATTATTCTCTAATGATTGTTACACCACTTTAACAAATTTTATTTGCAAAAAAAAATGTATAATGTACACAGGCATTTTATGAGATGCAATGAGGATATGAGATGATGCATGAAGCTAAAGATTCTTTGTTTTTCACAGGGTAGTCATTAGATTATCCTGATAGAACTGGCAGTGGATCCCAGCTAAGTTCTTCTGATTCTGCTCCTGGATATAACGTAAATTGTTGTCCTCTTCACCTGGGGATGGTTTCCAATAGAGTCTATCATCATGATAGGGTGCCCTAAATCATATACATAATGATGGGTGAATGAAAAGCAGAAAGTAAAATACGGTGATGAATGACAAATTCACTTCCCACATATGTACATGGAAAATACAACAGTGTTGAATTTATGAATTTATGAACAGGGTACAAAGGTGAATTGGTGACTAAATGAGGGGTCCCTTTACACATGGAGCAGAAATGCCTAAACTTCGCCACTCTAAACCCCACTGTCATCAATGGAAACATACACAAACTGTCCTCACACATGACTCCAATTTATTGAAATTGTATTTTGTACAGGAAATCTTCCCAGATGATAGTGTTCTTAGATATTTTTCTTACACAATGCTATGCTACTAAACACAGAATCAGCTGTGACATGCAGCATAAGTATATATTTTACCTAAAGCATGTCATCTGGACAGTACAATTTTCTCTACACCAATTATCTTCATGAATCAAAGATCTTCAGTCTGGAACATCCTAAAAAATTTGCTCAGAAAGGTATTTCATTCATTGTCATGAATGGATTTTAAGGTATACACAAGTTAAAATGCACAATAGGCCCTCCACTTTTTTCAGGAGGTTAAAGGCACAGTATTCTCATGCAAGTGTAAAAACTAATTTTTTTAAAAACTTTTTAAAATCTAAGAGCACACATCTCTAGGAATCTTTGGGTCCTCTAGGGTGACCCTATGGTCAACTTCTGCCCTAAGTTCACAGAGAAGTGCTTCTCTAGGAATATCTAGCTCTTCCAGGGTGACACTGGTGGAAATTGACCATAAAGTCACTATGGAGAACCTAGATTGATAGAGAACATATAGTGATTTGTGAATAATAAAAACCTAAAATGTTGAGGGCCGACTATGCATCTAAAAAAATGCACACACATCTTGGGTGTGCGTGCATGGTTGGTGGGGATTCAAGAGAGGGCCTTCTCGGTGCTGCCCTTAGGCTCTGGAACTCCCTTTCCAGGGGGACTAGAATGTTGTCCTTCTGGTGGCAGACTGAAATCTTTTTTATTCAGATAGCCTTTTAAAGAAGATTTTAAGAATGATCCAGGAGGGTGCTGGTAAGATATTTCATTACAGTAACTGCTTTTAAGAAGTTAAAAGTGTTCAAAATTATTTTAATTGACTTCTATGTTTAATTCCATTTCAATATTTGTATGTTTTGGATTTTAAATTGTATTCTCTTTTAATCCTGTGAACAATTTTGTGTCTCAGTGGGAGACATAAAAGTGAGATATAAATAAATATAAACATAACAACAACAAATGTTGGGAGTTTTAAAAATATACTGAAATACACACTCTCAAGACTCAATGGTTGATTGAAGAGAGCTTAACTATGTTACGAAAAGTGGAAGTGCCCATTATGACCACTTTGGAGATGCTGCAAAATACAGCACTCATATCTTGAGTGTTACTTTTCCCTGTGTGTTATGTCATCATACTAGACATCACCTTCCTTTCCCTGTACAACAAACATGGGCAAAGAAGCTTGGTCAGGGTGGTGGAAGCAGTGTTCAGAGTTTGCATTTTTAGTTGCAGTCTTTCCAAAATAAAGTCATGGCTGCTATTTAATATCCCCTTACTTGTAATGCAATTGCTTGAAGGTGCACTCCACTAAGAACATCTAATGCACAAAGGCAATTGAGATGAATATAACTGCAGTAATGTGATCACCAGTATTATAATCACATTTCCATTCCATTCCATAGATCAGGCATTGTTTTCAAAAAAAAAATTTTTTTTTGATATTAAATTGTCACCACTTTACCTAGAGTGATTTTGAGTATGCAAACTACTTCAAATATACCTACTCAGTAATCCTTCAAAAATCTGAAAAATATGCTGTTGAAATATTGAAAAACTGTCTTGGTGGGTGATGAAGGGAATGAAAAATATAATAAAAGTCTACAATAACAGAACAGACAAATCACATACCTTAAATTCACAGGAGGGTGGGGGTGCCAGTGTGGTTGGCCAGAAAGTATATTTGGATGACACAGAGGCTGGAAATAAAATGTGAACTTAAGTCACCAAGCTTTCATTATTTCATGACAATTTTTTAAATTTTTTAGGAAGGAAATAAGTGTTTTATTCCAAGGACACTGACCTTTAAAGTTTTCTATAAAGCAGTTATTCATATTAGTAATAGGCAAAATGACATTCAGACATTTACTTTCAATTGTGACAATTCATTTAATGTTTGTGGGAAGTTTGCTTCCACATGATAGCTGTACAAATATCTTAGATGACCTTTCTGTCCTTTCTTAGTTTTCTCATCTCCAGGCTACCATTTCCATACCATTTTTTTTTCATGAGCAGGATGGGGTAACAGAATACAGTAGACTCTCAGTTAACCAAATGTCAAGCAACCAGCAAAAATGAAGAAATAATCCTTTCTTTAAAAAATAAAAAACTGTTACATTAAGGGTTGGTCTTCATTTGATTTTAATTGCTGTATTTTAACATCAACACAGTACCTATGGTATGATACAGTATGGGGTGTACTATTAGTTATGCTCATTTTTAATAGTAGTAACTCTCCTGCAACCAAAAACTACATGTATCCAGCATCTAACAATCCCCATGGATTTTAGTTAATTGAGAATCTACTGAACATATGTATACATTTTCAGATCTGTGCATAGTATTTGCATAGTATTTGCTATTGTCCTTTAAAAAAATACAAACAAGCATAAATAACAAGCAAGTTGCAATCTGAGCTAGTACTAGTACAGCCCCCCCCCCCCCAACACTATAGAGGGATACAATTCCATTTGGCTGCTTGTATCCTTAGAGGATGGTAGCCTGATTATGTGCTCTATTTTTTTACAATATTTTTATTGTTTTATAGTGTGCACAAGAAACAAAACAGACAACAGAAAAAAAGAAAAAAGAAAAAAGATATACAAAAGAACAAGTAAGCTTACAGAATAGTATACAGTCAGCGCTCCTTAAATATATGAAAAATCAAATTTGACTATAGTTATTATACCTTAACATTTATTGTCCCTCTAACCCCACACCCGTGAACCCAACCCCCATGATCTCTGACACCCATTAATATGGCTCACATAACTAACCCGCAACTACTCACATGTCTTCTATCATTAAATCCCCTTTATGGTGATCTTCAAATCTACTTTTATCTTCTTTTCCAGATACCCAAGTGCCCAAGAATTCATTTTTAAAAATGAATTCTTCATTATTTAATCCTCTGCTGCTATTGGTTAGTTTGGCCATTTGGATAGAATCTACTAATTCATCTCTCTAATTTTTAATAGTTAATTCTTTTTCCCTCTTCCATTATTAGTCTTGCAGCAACCAATCAATATTGACAAATTTCTTAATTTCCTGCCCTAATATACCTTCTAAATATTCCTAATAAGCACATTTCCTGGTTATTCTTGACCTTTTTGTTAATCATATTGCTTGTTTCTTTCACCACTTTTTTCCAGAATTCTTGAACTATATTACAGGTCCACCATATGTGGAAAAAAAATCCCTTCACCTTTTTACATCTCCAGCCATCCTCTCATTCTGTTTTCTCTATTTTAGCCAATATCTCTGGAGGTTCAGTAAAACATTTTAAACATATTTTCTCTAATTGATCTGGCCACTGAAAATCTAAACCCCCTTTTCCGAAGATGTTCCCATTCTTCCAAATCAATATTTCTACCTAAATCTTTGGCCCATGTAATCATAACAGTTTTTATTTGGTTGCCTGCTAAGCTGTATTCTAAAATATATTTGTAGAGCCTGGAGATTAGGCCTTTATTACCCTTCTCAAAGATACCTTCTAACTCAGAATTTTTAAAGGCAAATCCTACTTTTGTGTCCTTCCTAAATCTGTCACGTAAATTAAAAGAAGCTGAACCAGTCTTTTAACCCAGATTCTTCTTTATCTTTACGTGTCCATTGCCCTTTCTCTTTCACCAAATAATCCTTGTATTTGCCAGAGTCAGAGTGTGTAGCCGGTCTCTTGATTGCTTCCAGTGGGCATGGCTATAAGGGTTTTTTTTTGGCCCCATTCCCTTCTTGTACCTTTTCCACATTGCTAAAAGGCCGGCTCTTATTATATGTCCATTAAATTCTTTATTCACCCTGTCCTTATCATCCCATAGATAGGCATGCCATCCATCTCTTAAATCATGGCCCTCTAACTCAAGCAACTCCTTATTGTCCAATTTAATCCATTCCTTTACCCAGCTAAAATTTGTGGCTTCATAGATCTGGCAGTGCCAGGCCCCCTCTGTCTTTCCCATCAATAAGGTTCTTGTAAGCAATTCTGGCTTTTTTTACCTTTCCAAATGAATTTGACCAGATATCTTTTCCATTTTCCAAACATCTTTACTCCCTTAATAATTGGTAGATTTGGAAACAAAAACAACATTTTGGGTAATACTTCATTTTGATCACTGCTATCCTCCCTAAGCAGGTCGAAGATATTTTACTTTTGGTACTACCTTACAATTAGTTATTTTCTCCAATTTAGCAATATTGCTTTTATATAGGTTTTTAGTTAGAAATACTGATTTTTCCTTATTAATTTTAAAACCTGACACAATGCTAAATTTGTTGATAATTTCCAATAAAGTGTGTGTGCTTCTTAAAGGATCCTTTAAGAAACAGACCAAATCACCTGCATATGCCTTTCCTGTACATTCACACCCTTTTACTTTAACTTCTTTAATTTCGCTAACTTCTCTAATTCTGTTGATTTTCTATTTCTTAGCGAGGGAAGGCCATTCACACTAATGTCTATCATAGATTACAACTTCAGGCACACATCTTCCATGACAGACTGCTGTGTATCCTCCCTCCTTCTACCAGCAATGATGTAGATATGCCACAAATTCCTCAGTTGTACTTGGTGAATGTGCATATATGAATATGTTTCTCTCCACTGTGACCAATGTGGCATCAGAAAACTCATTATATCCTGATTAAGATAATTATTGTGGAGTTAAGAAGTGAGCGGTCAGAGTGGAAGAGCAAAACATTCTTCCATTGTCATGGTCTGACCATCATCTGATCAGCTTAAGACTCACTGTGACCTCTGAAGGGGTGGTGGACCAATTAAAATGTTCTGCCCCAGGAGACATATGGATCTGGATGGACTCCTGAGGTCTCTTGGGGTTATTACTGTCATGGAGGCTGACAATCCTGTCAATGCCTTGGCTGATAGCTATAACAGAGAGATGGCTAGGGTGATAAGACACAATCGCCCCGAATGTCCCATCTTGTTGGCTAGAGTCACACCAACTCCTTGGAGTGGACTGTGATGAAATGCACGAGGAGACTAGTGTGCCTCTGGAGGAAATCTCATGGCGCCTCTGACCAAGCACAGGCTATGGCCTCAATTAGGGCCTACTCTGCAGCTCTGCGGTCAGCCAAGAAGAGATTTTTGGTTGCCTGCATAGCACCTGCTTCTAACAGACCATCAGAATTGTTTCGGGTTGTTGGGGAACCTCAAGTACTCAGCAACTTGGTGCGGCGATTTTGTGCACCATTTTGCAGATAAAGTCGCTCAGCTACATGCCAGCTTAGATGCAATGGCAGAGGAGATAACCAAGGCATCTGTCAGTCCAATCTTATGGGATTCATTTCGGCTTGTTCAACCTGATAACATGGATGGAATCCTTAGGGCTGTGAGGGTGACCACTTGTGCTCTGGACCCTTGTCCATCTTGGCTAGTTAAAATGACCAGAGGTGGGCTACTAGATTGGTTTGTGTCAATAATTAATGTCTCATAGGCTCAGGGAAAATTCCCATCCTGCCTTAAGCAGGTGGTAGTAAGACCAATTATGAAGACCCCTGTGGTGAACAACTATAGGCCAATCTCTAACTTCCCTTTTCTGGACAAGGGGCTGGAGCGGTTGGTCGCCTCCCAGCTCCAGGGATTCCTAGACGACTGATTTTCTAGACTAGTCACAGTCCGGTTTCAGGCCCAGTCATGGTACCATGGTCACCTTGGTGGGTGATCTCCGCAGGGAACTGGATAGAGAGAGTGTGACACTGCCAGTTCTCTTGGACATCTCAGTGGCATTCGATACCATTGATCGTGGTATCCTTCAGGGCCGGCTCTCTTGGGGCCAAGACTTTGCTTGGGTATCGGCGGAGGCCAGGAGAGCCTTCGCACAACTAAAACTTGTGTGCCAGCTGCGACCATACCTCGTGAAGTCTGATCTGCCCATGGTGGTCAATGCCTTATTTACCTCTAGACTGGACTATTGCAATGCACTCTGCGTGGGGCTGTCCTTGAACCCGGCCCGGAAACTTCAATTATTCCAGCGTTCCGCTGCCAGACTTCTAACAGGAGCGAATTACTGTTTAAGGAGCTCAATTGGCTGCTGTTTATTTTCTGGTCCCAATTCAAGGTATAGGTTATCACCTACAAAGCCCTGAACGGTTTGGGACCCTTCCTGACCACATTTCTGTCTATGCGTCTGCATGATCTGTTTGATCATCGGGGGAGGCCCTCCTTTCGCTCCCACCTCTGTCACAAGTGTGACTTGTGGGGACAAGGGAGAGGGCCTTTTCTTTAGAACTCGCTGCCCGGTGAGATTAGGCAAGCGCCCACCTTTGCAGCCTTCAAGAAGAGCCTAAAAACTTGGCTGTTCCAGTGTGCCTTCAATGATTGAACAAGTCCCTGACCTTAACCAACTCAGCACATAATGTATTTCAATGCATTTTTTTTCACCATTCAGTGAATTAACTCCCATTTTTGTCCCATCTGAACTTCACATCAGATACACTACCCTACTCTTCCATCTCTCCCAGGATTTTAAAATCCTATTTGTTGTATTTGGCCCTGCTCATTTGGTTCAATGTTTTGTTATGTATGCTATACTCTGTGTTAATTTTGTATTATCTTTTTATTTTATTCTATTTTATTTGATGTATTATTTTATGATCTTTTGTTGGTTTTTAAAAAAAAAAATTATTTTTTTTTGCTTTTGTTGGGCTTGGCCTCATGTTAGCCGCCCCGAGTCCCCTTGGGGAGATGGAGGCAGGGTATAAAGTATTATTACTATGCTTTTAAAAAAAATTAGGCCCTGTGTTTATATTCATGACACACCTGCATATTTACTTATAACTCAAAAGCCAGGAAATTTGGCTTTGTTGCCTGTAAGGCATAAGATAGAGGTGGTTGTCTTGGTTACAGTTGTTAAGGTAGGGAGGTTTCTAGCTGACAATTTGAAAGTGTCTAGGGGGATAACCTTACTTTGCTTATGCAGGTACCAGCCAGACAAAAATGGATTGGTCAAGGGTCAACAAATTTGAGTGACATAAAGACACTGGTCAGAAGGGTTGTGGTCAGGATTTTAAGAAGAATAAAAGGGACAGTTGGAGGCTTTTGGTGTGCTCCGCTGGAATAGAGCTGGTGGCCAAAATAAGTGGTGCTCTGAAGTAAAATTGGGGTGTGGAGGGGAGAGCCATTAGCTGAAGGGAGAAGCCAGACTGAGTGTTTGAGGTAAAAGTCCAAGGGGGAAGCAGAGCCACTCATCAGGTACCTTGCAGCAGAGGCATGGCCCGTGGGAATGTCAGCAAGAGATCTTAAAAGTGAATCATTGCAGACATTGGGTGCAGCAAGGTGAGAGATGAAATGAATGATGAAGACTGACTCATCTATAGAAGTCTTAAACTGTACGTCCCGATCCCAAGCAGGGTCCCCTTAGCTCAATGCTGGATTCTGAAAATTTGGCAATAGCAAGTTTTCTGAATGTTATATTGTGGCTGTTTTAGACATCTACATAAATCTGTTGTGCAGTGTTTACCGTGTACTCTGCAGAAGATGCTTCAGCTTTACTTGGAATGTGCTTTGAATTCTGATTGGGGCCACATAACTTTCTGGTTGAGACAACATCAATAGCTAATGTTTTCTTTCTGGTCCGAATTCAGAGTGGAAGTTATGACTTCTAAAGCCCTACACAACTAAATCCAGATTGTGTTGTCAAAGGCTTTCATGTCCTGAATCAGTGGGTTGCTGTGAGTTTTCTGGGCTTTATGGCCATATTCCAGCAGCATTCTCTCCTGATGTTAGAGGGACCTTATCACCTATGCAGGGGTCTACTGTATACCATGCAGCTGTGGACAAGTCTACATAGGGACCACCAAACACAGCGCCCAAACACGAATCAAGAAACATGAACTGCACTGTAGACTAATTCAACTTGAGAAGCCAGCCATAGCATAGCACCTGATGAACCAACCTGGAAACAGCATATTATTTGAGAACACAGAAATGCTGGACCACTCCAACAGCTATCATGTCAGACTACACAGAGAAGCCACTGAAATCCACAAGCATGTGGACAATTTCAACAAAAAAGAGAAAACCATGAATATGAACAAAATTTGGCAACCAGTATTTTAAAAAACTCTAAAATCAGGACAGCAAATAAAGAAGAAGACTAAAAAAAAACCAGAGGAATTCCTGACATAAAACACACAAGGCCAGCTAACACCTCCCAACAAAAGATTTCCCCAGGCAGGAAGCAGCCATTCAATGCTAATCAAGGTGGCCAATTGCAACATTCACACTTTCCTCAAGCAGATAAGAGTTCTGAACACTCTACAGATATATAAAGCTCACTTGCCTAGTTTCCAACAGACCTCACAACCTCTGAGGATGCCTGCTATAGATGTAGGTGAAATGTCAGAAGAGAATGCTTCTGGAACATGGCCATACAGCCCAGAAAACTCACAGCAACCTAGTAAATCCAGATTACCTAAAATCTCTCTCTCTTTCTCTGTGAACCTGCCAGAGTCTTAAGATCCCCATGGAATAATTTTAATTTGGTGGCAACATTATTGCAGTTACTATATTGTTATTTTTTTTAATGATTTTGTGCTTTTAAAAATGCAATGATATTTTCATTTAAGAAATATATTAACTTTTTAAATTGTGTTTTTTTTTTATTTTCAAGTTTTAAGCTTTTTCCTGGTTTAGCCTTGAAGAGTTGTCTTTAATCTTCAGGAGAAAGCAGATATCTATATGAAATTATATAAACTATTCCCTCTTATATGCTAGTCTCTAGTAATCGTATCAAATCCATATGTACATACACTGTATGATCGAGGCTACTGAGAAAAGGTTGTATATCTGAGAAAGCATTACATATTTTATAGTTGAGAAGTATTCTCTAATATGAGATCTTTATTGGAGTATAGAGGGAACCCAAGTCTCCAAGGTAGTCTCCAAATGAAGATAACATAAGGATGCACACACAAATAAAAACACCAGTGGTGAGAAGGCAGTCAATCAAGTGAGTTGTTTTGATCATGGCATTATCGTGCACTATCAGTAAGGTACAACAGTATTTTGGTATTTTCCTTACCTGATAGTTATGAACTTCTGGGTTATTTTTACCACTAAAACTAAAAAGCAGAAAAAGTGTTATTTTGTCACAGCTCTCAAAAGATGCATCGTAGAACCTTTCCTTGTGAAGGAGCCAAACTACAAACTGGCAATAGGCATCATCCCGTTTCTTTCCATTTCCCTCTGATACTTCAGTAAGAAATATGTATTATATTGTAAAAAGTACAAACTTTCGACAGCTCAAGAGGCTACAGGTCAGAGAGAGTTCCGTTTTTATACATTCACTAGGTCAATTTACCTCTTTGAGTCTTTCAAGACACACTCCCCACCCCATTGGCACTGTTTGCATGCAATACTCATACTCTCTCACAGCTAACCATCATAATATTCCCTCACTCTTCAAACAGCCATCTGTTTATAAATCTTATGTAATCTGTTTTTAAAGCATTCTGAGGCAGCTGGAGCATTCATAAACATCCCATAATGCCGCAGTAACTGACCTAGTGGCTAGGGAGGGCTCACTTTTATCAATTCAAGCCAAAGCTCTTCCCACAAGTAATGGCAGATATTTCAGCAACTGCTATAGCCTCACTTGAATGTCTGAAGACCTCTAGGACTCCTCCCCTCCCCATTTCATTTTAAACTGAAACCATGCGGTTAGAAGAACTTCAAAATCAAGTTATTTTTTCTTCTCTTCCTTTCCCTTGCTAGTCCCTGTCTTCCGAAACATCTCCCCTGATGAACAGAATTAGATACAAAAAGTTTTGCCAAATGTTGGCTAGTCTTTTAGCTGATCTGATAAGAATATTACAGTAGTACGGATATGGATTATCCATAACCCCCTCCCCCAAGACAAAAGGTATAGTTATTTATTCTCTTTCTCTCTTCCCAACTCTCAGTACATATTCCTGGGAAGAGAAAGAGGAGGAAGAACTGGGGAAGAATTTATAATAATTATTTTTAATACTCCCAAAAGCCTGGATTGATCCATCTGAGGTGTCATCCCAAACACTAAGGAAGTAAATCTTCCAAAATTTTGTTTTTGCAGGCAAGAACAAACAATTTAACCACCCTTTCTCACTGCAAGAAAGGCACTGAAGAGTGTGGTTTTTGGAGACTGTAGTATGGGAATTATTTTGTACAAAATAACAGTATGATTTTCTTGCACAAAAAAAAGCATATTCCATGCAAAAAACAATGTTTTTGTGTAAAAGGAGCACTCATGTAATAAAAATGCTGCTTTCTGCACAGAAAATGGCATTTTTGTGCAAAAAGACCTTACTAAAATTTTGCACATAGAATAAGTGCTGAAATGAAGACTATGACTCTGGAGACCAGGGTTTGAATAGTTGTTTAGCCATGGAAACCCACTGGATGTTCCTGAGGAAGTCACACACTCTCATCCTCACAAAACCCCGTAACAGGCTTTATTTGCAATTTCCATAAATCAAATATGACTTGAAGGCACACAACAACAACTAAGATTCTATTAATCAGTGTTTCCTAATAGATAGCAATCTGTTTTTAGATCTTGTTTTTTATATTTTCAAATATTCATCCCATTCTTACTCAGCACCAGCTCTACAACACTTTTCTGTACCTATCTATAGTCACTACCCTTTCTGTGAACCACCACATGCTCACACATTCTAGAGCATGATCCAGAACTTGCTACACATACTCGCTTCTATAGCAGGTTAACTTTCTCAACATTATGGATCACAGGTGCCAAATGAAAGAATACGTGTAATCACTGGGTGACACTTACCAGTGTGGTGATGGTTTGAGAGCATTGTTTGCTTAAGGGAAAACAGAAAAGCAAAGTTAAATAACAGAAAATAAAGTGCAAACTCCATGTACATAATGGTCAATAAATAAAAGACCAGAAGGATGTGGGATTTGAGGTACAAGTAGGGTTTTCATGCATGGGCATTCGAAGCTGGTGGCTTCAATGCTACTGGAAAGTGACCCTACCATGGATTTAATCTATACTTTAAAAGAGGCAATTGGAATGAACAAGCAGAAAGTCCAGCAGAATCAAAGTTTGCAGGAAAATTTGGCCTAGGATCAAGAAATGAAGCAGGAGAGTGACAGGCTAAATTTTATAAGAGGTATCAAAGGTACTTGAAAGGTACTTGACAGGGGCTTCCGCTGTCAGCCCTAGCTTCTGCCAACCTAGCAGTTCGAAAACATGCAAATGTGAATAGATCAATAGGTACCGCTCCGGCGGGAAGGTAACAGCGCTCCATGCAGTCATGCCGGCCACATGACCTTGGAGGTGTCTATGGACAACGCTGGCTCTTAGGCTTAGAAATGGAGATGAGCACCACACTCCAGAGTCAGACATGACTGGACTTAATGTCAGGGGACTACCTTTACCTATCAAAGGTATATTAAGAATATTTTATATGTGTGATAAATATATATGTTAGGAATATTTTCCCTCAGAATGTAATGCCCCAATGTAATTGTAGCCGTTTCTCCCCCTCCCACTCTGATTTCTTCAACTCATAGGTAGGACACAGGGAAAGATGCTGCATCACAACTGACTGTCCCTCAAATCCCACCTGTGCAAAAAATGAGCACTCAATACAAAAAATAGTTCAATTACTTTAAAATAAAATAAAACCCAATGAGATAATTGTGAAATACAAGGTCTACTTATAGAAGACACATGAAGCTTCATTCTTTCTCTACTTTGGTCTACACATGAAAGCTAACATATGGATGTGTTTACATTTTCCAGCCAATTAAGTGTTGCACATGGGGAAAAAATTAAACTAAGGCTGTGTTGACACTATAGAATTAATGCAGTTTAATATCATTTCAATTGGTATTGCTCAGTGCTATGGAATTCTGGATGTTGTAGTCTACCAGAACTCTTGAAAAACTGCAACTCCCAGGATTCTATAGCATTGAACCATGGCAGTTAAAATAGTCTTACACAGTTAAGAAACTATTGGTCTTATAAAATTTAGCATGTCACTCTCCTGCTTCATTTCTTGATCCTAGGCCAAATTTTCCTGCAATTTTTTATTCTGCTGTACTTTCTACTTGTTCATTCCAATTTCCTATGATTAACAAGTCCTGTTTTGGTATGTAGCTAATACAGGGGTCTCTTGGTCCTTCGATTTGAAAAGAGAATGCTCAATTTCTTCTGCTTCTGTTTCTGTGGAGCACAAACTTGGATTAGGGTTACACTAATAGATTTTCCCTGAAGTCTTACTGATAATTATTTATCAGACTTTGCATTGTATTTTTTACTATATATCTCTTCCCTATTAATGCCACCCCAATTCTTCTTAGATTTTCCTTTTCTGAGTAAAACACTGTATGATTATCTGATAGATTATTGTTTACTTCATTCACCGCTGGTATGGCAAACTTTATATGTTCAGTTTCTTATTATACTATATCTGGCTTCCTCTGATTAATTTGTGCTGCCATGTTTTACAATTGTGCAGCTTCTGCTTTTCCTTTCACCTCTGAGCCTGTCAACAGCTGAACATTCAACTTGAGTCCAGATGCATTATTAACTGCAGCACTCATTGTACCTGCCCTCTGCTCTAGTTCAGTAGTTCACTAAATGTCATCACACCTGGGAGTTGTATCTCCTCGTATTATCCCTCATTTCATTTTGTATTGTTTCATCACAGATTTTTTTCATGGTAAAAATGTGTAGTACTAACAAGTACTAGCTATCTTGCCACTGCTGTTGTCTTGGAGAGATTGTCTGCCGGTGACAACTTCCATTACTGCTGCTACCCAGCAGCTGTTTGGCACATTTAACCTGGTCCCTACCAGCAGTCAGCATAGCTTCTTGCCTCAAAGGGGAACATAATTCCACCACTGTAGAAAGGTAGTGCCATTCAAGTAAGATGGCCCATTAAGAAAAACTGGTCAGGCCGGGCCTTGCTCTCAAATTGAGAAAAGGCCCTGGGCTGCTCCACATTCTTCTTGCATAAGTTTCTCCTTGAATTTCCTTGTCCTAGCTTCAAAAACAGCAAATAAACAGGTGAAGTGATATACTATGTATTTTTACCAACCGAGTCGTCCTCCAACTAGGCTCATCTATATCATTGACAGATATCTTTCATATAGCTTGCTTTGTTTACCACATAATTTTGAATTCGCTAACTGGATTTTAAAATGTGTTCAGTTTTCAATACAAATGGAACAATATTTTGCTAAGTTCTAAGAAATCTAGTATTTCTTAATATTTATATATTTATAAGAACCTGGCAGGAGATCAAAAATGAAAACCCGAAATACAAAAATAATTCCTATTAGTTTGGAGTCCTCTATGCAATTCAGCATGCATAGATAGTACTCCTTTTCAGAAACTGTGGAGACAAAAGAGGAAGGCTCCAGAATCAAGACTGACTGACACTTACTTTACTTCATTAAACCCTAGAACTCATTTTTCTGAGACAACAGGAAATTAATCAGGTTGTTTTGTTTCTTAATTTTTATCATTTTTATGCCCCTTCTTATATGAATACTTTTCCCTGCTGGGACAGCTTTGTTACCATTTAAAATGCCTCTTTCTTTCTAGATCTGATTTATTTCCAAACACAGACTACGTTTTTTCATATGATGAAATGGCAAGAAGCAAATCGCTACACACTCTGAGGCCTTGACACCATGTTGCATGATAGATACATTTGGCAGAACCTCAGACATATTCCTGGGCCAAATATTCAAGAGTGCTGCCATGTTTTAAAGTTCCTTTCCAGCACAGTACGATGTGTTTAGAAATAATTGGGGAGTAAAGGCCCTTTGTATTAAAATATTTGCTCCATAATGATAAAATAATATATTTTCTTATTTTTAGAACACAACAACAGGACTGGAGGAAAGTAGGAAAAATGTATCCTTCCTCCCAACACACAGGGTTTTTTCTTCTTTCTTGAGGCCCTTTGTAATTCTCTTGAAGCCATGATCCATCGTCATGCTGAAGAAACTCATTACTACCTTCTGGTTTCTTGTGTATTTGAATTAGCAAAGACGGTATGAAAAAAATGCATATCTGTACTTGGAAACAAAATAAAATGTTTAGAGATATCATCTAGAGGAGAAGCAGAATGAAAGATGTGGAAATAAATGGTAATTTCAGTTAATAATTTGCTTAATACAAATGGCATATAAATTTGGCACATTAAATTATGTATAAAAAGTGGGATAGCTGTGAACTGGAACCTTTGAAAGTTGAATGTCTCCGGGATGGATATCTCTTGCTAGGTCGCCTTTCAAATGTGCTTGTCCTGCGTAATCTGGATCCATGTGTTGCTTGGTACTCTGTTCGGCCACTTAAAAAAAAGAATTACTTAGGTTACTGATGTATGTTGCATACATATCCACTTTGAACTGAGTTTCATTGAGTTCAATGTTCTTTCTGCCCAAGAGAATTGCAGACTAAATTATCTGCAAATGCCCATTCCAGTCCACAGAGATACAACAGCTATTATAAATATAGGAAGCAGCTTTCCCGCATTTTTATCTTTTGTGACTATGGCTTAATCTAAGTTGATCTCTCCACACGACCAATGTAACTCAAACCTATTACTCAGGGTGAAGAAGTGGTTTGATTTACTTTTCTTTAGTAAAAACTGGTCCGCTATATCCAGAATAAGCAATCTGTAACTAGTACAAACTTTTCCACCTGTATCTGCACCAGACTAACAGGTTTTCTTCATGCAAGTCTGCAGTCTTTTAAGCACTGGGCATTAGCATTTCATTCATGAAAGGAATATGATAAACAAAACAAAACTAGCTAATGTCAATGCAAAGTCCTCCAGTTTGCATTTTTGTTATGTTAGACCAGCCCATCCCACTTCCATTCTTCCTCCCAACCCTTCAATAGATAATCAGAGAGTAATAATGAGACTTCAAAATATAAACAATATATGCCCCTGTATAGGAAATGACAGGATTCATGATGTTCTCTATGCAATACAGGAAAGCGAAAAAATATTACAAAACCTCCTTCCAAGCATATAACGTTTTCAGGCAAATTCTTTCAAATACATTTCTACATCTGTTCCCTAAGGTTTAAGTCCTTCAAGCAACTAACCTTCCTGATGCTTCTTAACAGTGTTTCTTAATAGAGCAACAATTTCCCCTCTTTTCCTTCCCCCTTAATTCCAGCCACCCTTATCAACAGTCCATCAGCTTTAATTGACTGAAACCAAGAGGGAGGGAACCTCATTTTTATGTTATGACACAATTCTAGACATTTACTGTCCACTCATCTGGACATTTACTGAAAGCAAGCAAGCATGCAAGCTTCCAAACTGGAATGCTTTCACAATTGTGATGAAAGCCACCCCCAGCCCCCTGGTCTTTAGTATGATATAAACAAACCAGCTAATGAAATTTGTGTTAGATAGTTAGCTTTTTATGTGCAGATTTGCAAGATAGTGTATAACATTAAAAGTACCTGAATCGAAATCGGGATCCCAGCCTGATAAAATCTGACCGGCTAGATTTAGTGTTAGCAGGTGTGCGCAAACGGAAAAAGGCATGATGTTCTACCGCACATTTCCAGAGGTGCTTGCATGTTTTGGCATTATCTAATCTGAAGACAAAAGTGTGCTCCTGCTCTCTACCCTAAAAGACAAGAAATAACATATTATTGGAACTCCCTTCCCAGCAACATTATATCAGCTTCCCCCCCCCCCCCCCCCCCCCCCCACCCCCGTCCTTCAGAAAGAAAGTCAAAACTTGGCTATGGAATCAGCTATGCAGATATGCAGGCTCCGGCCCAGCGTACCTGTCCGAACGTATCTCCTTCTACGTCCCGCCTAGAAATTTAAGATCTGGAGAGGCCCTGCTCTCGGCCCCACCTTTGTCAGAAATGAGACTGGCGGGGATGAGGAACAGGGCCTTCTCGGTGGTGGTCCCCCACCTGTGCAATTCACTCCCCGGGGAAATTAGATTATTGTCATCCCTCCTCTCTTTTAGAAGGAAACTAAAAACATGGATATGGGACCAGGCCTTTGCGTAATCTGGCAGACTGACAAGGACAATGACGACTAGAGCTTTGGAACGGATTACGATAAGTTGAATGGACTCACTAATTACAGAACTCGGTGAAACGTTGGCCACCAGACTGGCTTTTTTCTATTAGTTTTTATTGTATTAACTTAATGTTTTAATTATTTATAATTACCGTTGTTGTATATTTTACTGTGTTGAATTGTAGGCATCCAATATGTGCCGGTTGGAAGCCGCCCTGAATCCCCCCTAGGGGGTTGAGAAGGTCGGGGTAGAAATGTCCGAAATAAATAAATAAATAAATAAATATGAAGATAATGTAATTGGAACAGATTTTGAACTAGGATTTCGGGACTATGTGTTATGTTTTTAACAAGTGGCACAATGGGTTAAACTCTTGTGCTGGCAGGTCAGCAGTTTGAATCTGGGGAGAGTGGGTTGAGCTCCCTTTGTCAGCTCCAGCTCCCACACGGGGACATGAGAGAAGCCTCCCACAAGGATGGTAGAACACTGAATATCCATGCTTCCCCTGGGCGACGTCCTTGCAGACTGCCAATTCTCTCACACCAGAAGTGACTTACAGTTTCTCAAGTCGCTCCTGACACAAAAACCCCTGCTTATATATTTATATGTTTTTATATGTTTATATATTTATATGTTTTTATATATTTATTTATATGTTTATATAACATGTATTTATATGTTTCTGTTTTATGATTTTTATTCACAATGTGTTTTTTATGTCTTAATGCAGCATTGAATTATTGCCAATTAGGAAGTCTCTTGGAGTCCCCTTCGGGGTTAAAATAGTGGCATAAAAATACAATAAATACACACATAAATAATTACCCAGGTCCCACACATACAATATAATTCATTCTTAGGGGAAAAAAAGTTTGAGGATATGCATAGTCCCACAATATCTGCTAAACTCATGACATTCTGGATGTAACCAGATTAAGCTCAAAGTAACATTAAAAAGTTACCTGTTCATCATCTTCTACGACCACAAGCGTCAGTTTGCTCTTTTTGAAGTCCATTTTAGTGATTTTAGGCCTTGATACAAAGAAAATACAAAATAATAATAATAATAATAATAATAATAATAATACTTTATTTGTACCCCGCTACCATTTCCCCAAGGGACTCGGTGCAGCTTACATGAGGCAGAGCCCACAATATAACAATAAAAACAATAACAACAGTAATACAAAACAATAAATAAAACTCATAAGCAGAAAATAAGCAATAAATATTAACAATAACACAACAACGTTTAAAAACCTATGGCTGTGCCAAATGTAATAATAAAAATTTTAAAAATAATGCTGAGCATGATAGGTAAAATATAACCAGGATAGAATTTTCGGAGAGGGATTGAATCATAGAATCATAGTATCAAAGAGTTGAAAGAGACCTCATGGGCCATCCAGTCCAACCCCCTGCCAAGAAGCAGGAATATTGCATTCAAATCACGCCTGAAAGATGGCCATCCAGCCTCTGTTTAAAAGCTTCCAAAGAAGGAGCCTCCACCACGCTCCGGGGCAGAGAGTTCCACTGCTGAACGGCTCTCACAGTCAGGAAGTTCTTCCTCATGTTCAGATGGAATCTCCTCTCTTGTAGTTTGAAGCCATTGTTCCGCGTCCTAGTCTCCCGGGAAGCAGAAAACAAGCTTGCTCCCTCCTCCCTGTGGCTTCCTCTCACATATTCTTACATGGCTCTTCCGATCTGCCTTCTCTTCTTCAGGCTAAACATGCCCAGCTCCTTAAGCCGCTCCTCATAGGGCTTGTTCTCCAGACCCTTTGATCATTTTAGTCACCCTCCTCTGGACACATTCCAGCTTGTCAATATCTCTCTTCAATTGTGGTGCCCAATTGGACACAATATTCCAGTTGTGGTCTAACCAAGGCAGAATAGAGGGGTAGCATGACTTCCCTGGATCTAGACACTATACTCCTATTTATGCAGGCCAGGATCCCATTGGCTTTTTTAGCAGCAGCATCACATTGTTGGCTCATGTTTAACTTGTCCACAAGGACTCCAAGATCTTTTTCACACGTACTGCTCTCAAGCCAGGCATTGTCCCCCATTCTGTATCTTTGCATTTCGTTTTTTCTGCCTAAGTGGAGTATCTTGCATTTGTCCCTGTTGAACTTCATTTTGTTAGTTTTGGCCCATCTCTCTAATCTGTCAAGATCGTTTTGAATCCTGCTCCTGTCCTCTGGAGTATTGGCTATCCCTCCCAATTTGGTGTCGTCTGCAAACTTGATGATCCTGCCTTCTAACCCTTCATCTTACATGTACAACATCTTACATCAAGGATTCCTACCCCTATTTATTTTTTCCTTAGACTTTTACTTCTTTATCATCCCTGGCCATAAGTCATGCTGGATAGAAATGCTGGAAGTTTATTTATTTATTTATAATATAATCCATATAAATACTGCAATTGAAAAATGCTTGGAGATTCTAAAATTCTACATGAAGTGTATAATACTACACATAGTATTACACATTCTTCTATCAGCTTCCCTATCTTCTAGTCTTTTCTGAACTCAGTTCAAAGTGCATTTCATGTATTTCTGTTTGTTTGCTTCAACTTCTACCACACAGTTTTACGTTTTCATTCTTATATCACAGGTTACATAAGCTGCCTAGGGAATTTCAAGATGAAACAAAACTGAGATATAAATATTAAACCTAAGTATATTCTGTGTTTTGAACCACTAAGGTACTTTTAAAAAGTGAAATACATTCTTGTTGACATACCATCAAAACACAACTGCTCAGAATTAAAGGGAGGAATTGTATTAAAATGTTAAATAAGTGTAATCAGACATGACTCACCAAAAAAATAATCCTATTTTGTTTGTTCCTTCAAAGATCAAAATACCAGTTGGCGTCAATCCGAGAGCATATTCACACCCATCTCTTCCCTACAAGTAGATGATTGTATATTAAACACATCAGAAAATTTAGAACATGAAATAGGATAAAACATTATTCATTTAGTGATGAACTGTGATCACCTTTCCCATTTTCTGCAAAACTAAATTGTAGAAATAATACCTTACCTTAACTATGTGCATATCTACCCCATACATTTCTAACCACTTTGCTTTGTTCAAGTAGCACATTTCTGCTTGGGCAGGGCTTTTCCCCCTAAAAGAATAAAAGAGGAAAAATCCATCTTAACTTGGAATATTTCTGTTTTCTTTTTCTTAATTCGTAACAATCCAGGTTTGCAAATGTAAACACATTTTTGTTTTCTCTTTTTAAAATATTGTTGATCATATATGCTAAACTGTCTCGCACCCCCTACATCTCAATCAAGCCATAATTTCATAAAGCTACTATACCTGAACTCTTTCCACTTCTGAAAAATTTCAAATTCCATTGCTTCAGTTTGGTTACGAGAAAATCTGAATTCTGACACAAGTTCTGGATCATGTTCAGGAATTTCACAGTCACCAAGCTCAGCTGCAAAAGTTGGAAATTCCAAATAAAAGATCACTCTACTAGAGTATAAAACTGCTATTCTCATATTTTAAGAATGTCCCGAGTAAGGCATTTCTAGAATATTTAAGTTTCCAACTTAGACAAATTCAGGGTAAAAGCACACTAAGCAATGGATAAAATCAAGATGCTGAAATACCGCTTTCAAGAAATTTATGATTTACATTTCTAGCCTTCTTCTTCTCTTAGAATACTTCAGGATCAAAGTTTGATTCAATTAACCTAATGGCCTTTTAAACAGAAATTATCTGTGTGTGCCTATATAGTCATAACGAAGTTATTATTTGAAAGTAAAGCCATTCTAAATAGCCATACTGGAAAATGTAACAGTGTTCATGTCTTCTCACTATTTGCACATTAATCTGCGTGCCCAGGATCAGTGTTCATGTGACATATGGCACAAAGGGCTCTTTAATGTGCATTTGGTTAAAAAGCCACCCATTCCACCAACACTAGGGCCCCATTTGGAGTATAATATGATTGAAAAGGCAGATACTAAAATTTAATATGAAAAACAGATTACCAGTACATAGATTCAAAACAATTCTGTAAGAATTTAAAATTGTAACGAAGCGCGTATAATCAAGGAGGGAATTAAACTCAGGCCTCACTTATTGGAAAGAATATATTGTAGGGGAGGCCAATTATTTGTAAACTAGGGTAGCTGCCACCAATCGTGAGGTATATGGGTTATCAATGATAAGATTTGGCTTCACAGACGCAGATTGACTGAGATGAAACGGTCTTCAACAAAAGAGAACAAGTTTATTTTGTACAAAGCGTGTGGTTACGAGTTGTTGAATGACTTCTTGAACTTTAAGTAACACTTAGTTTGTAATACAGTTCACTCTTTCAAATGATACAACTTATAGCAACTGTTAGTGAAATGTAGCACTTTGCTGAGCAATGTTTCCTGAGGTGAATAGCTTTCTAATTTGATCTGTCCTTGATCAAACTACTGATCTCTAGTCTTCTCTCGACTAGCGATCTTAACTAGCTTTCTTTAGCCTTCCCTGACTAAAGAAACTATCTAGGTTTCTCCCTCCCGCCTTCCTAGGCTGAAAAACCTACTGCTATTCCCTCTCACTGCTCTTCCACTAAACTACTATCTCCGACGGCTGACTGAAACGACCTCCTAACTGGAACTGCTCACTCCGAGCTCCAAACCCTAACTCCTCACTCCTCGGAACCTAAAACCTAACTGAACATTAACTGTCGTTTTTCAAACTCTCCCCTCTAAGCTCCTCCCACTTCTCTCTCTACTGCATCGTCTCCATGGCAACGCACTCCTCTGACTTAGGCCGCTCCAGCATTACTGCAGCCAATCTAAACACAAATACAGTTAAAATCATATAACTTATAATCAACTTCTGTACACCTTCCCCCCCAGAAAAAATTATTTTTGGGCCATTCTCAGTCCCGGAATGGGCAAAAATAATTCCACAAATTATCCAACAATATCTACATACACAATATTTCTGAAATGCAAACATATTATGGTTAAATACGTTATAATTTATACATATAAACCTTTAACCTTACGAAATTCTAGTATCATCTATGGATGTGGTATCAAAGTCTCACATTTCTAACATTTTTCATATAAACAATCTATCTAAACATTTCTATATTTATACATATATTTGTAAATATTCATTGCCTATTGCAAAACTTATATACCTACCACACTTTAATATTACACTACCTTATACATACATTAGATTTTAAAAGCTAAATCCTTTTTCATGGAATCAGTATTGATGAAACACCTTCCAATGGAACTAACAGGTTAACACTAAACCTATATCTATACAGCTTACCTGAATAAAATTATCCTGGAGTCCTCCTCCATGTCCATGACAAAATGTCCACCTAGACATAGTTACATCCTTCAATATACTATACACTGAAGTGAAATTGTGGAGCCTCCAACTCCCAATTCCCACCTTGACAGTTTGCCTGTCCCCTGGGCTCTTATCACCTATAGAAGCCCCAAAACCCAGCACTCTTTATCTTAGAGGCTGCTATCTTAGACCTAAATCTTCCTTTTGAAGACTGGTTCTACCTTTAAAACATTTTCTCAAAATGGATTTCTGTCTTTACCTAAGACACACAACTTTTCCTTTCATTAACTATCTTTAAATCCTCTTGCATTTATTCAATTCATATCAACATCAAATACCCTTGTTCAAATGTGTTTCTATCCCATTAACATATACAATTGACCTTCTACCTAGTTTGGTCAATTTACAAGACATTTATCTATATACCATACCACAACTTTTCTCCATACATATGGTCCCAATTTGTTAATAGCTCACACAATAGTTAAACTCCCACATTTGATCGTTGACATAGATGTCTTAGTGTCCAATGTCCCATGGTTCAAACACAACCTCGGTTGTACTGGACCAACTGTCCACAGCAATGTTTCTTTATGATGATCTTCTAGCTTCTTTCTTCCACTTCTTCGTTTCTTCTTTTCAGGTTTCCTCTTTTGTCCCTTGATGTCTTCTCGATCACCTGGAGATACGGTTTTCTTCCTCATACGACGTCTGCAAGTCTTTTCTGCTCTCTTTTTTGCTGCTGGGGTTTCTTCTTTTAATCTGACCTTCCAATTATCAGGAACAGTTCTGCTTCCATTGAGTTTCAGGGCTTGAACAACGGCTTGCTTTAATGTAGCATCAGATTTTAGTGAAGAATCTGGAATCCCTCGAACATCTCTTCTTGGCACTGAAGAGAATTCACTGTCCTTGGAAGAACAATCAAGAACACTGTCTTTCTTTATTGCAATTTTTCCACTGTAGTCTGGATGAACTTCTAAAGCTAGAAATTGCAGCTTTTTCCTTTTATCACCATTAACATAGTCAGTGTATATTATTTCTCTTGACAGTCCATCAGCTTGGTTTTTATTCTCTTTTTCTTCTTTGCTCAAGGATAAAGGAGATTCTTTCTCTGGTATATGATTAAATCTTTTCTCTCTGTTTATTTTCTTTTTCTCAAACGCTGAGGCGATTTTAGACCTCTTTGCATTTCTGACCGCTGCATTCCTGGCTCCTCTGGAACGCATAACCGGCTTTCTGGAGACTTTCTCAACGATCTTTTTGGTCACTGGATCTTTGGCTTCTCTGGCAACCATGACAGGCCCCTTGGTAACTTTCTGTACCACTCCTTTAGCCATGCCATCCAGCCCAGAGGCAGCTCCGCCATCTTTGTCTTTCTCATCTTCCTGTGTCACCTTCCTGGCTACTTTTGCGAGCCTTGTGGCTCTCCTGATGAGGGACAAATGGCCTGGAGTCCCTGGCTGAAATTCCTGGTGCCATTCCACAGCTTGTGCCACGACTTCTATGGCACTGTTTAAATCTCCTCTGCGCCTCAAACATGCCGCCATTGTCAAAACTAAGTCTGAGTCACTCCTCAGCACTTCTGTATCTTTTAAAATTATGTACGTTTCATGTACATGGCCTTGATCCCACTTTTGTATTGCCATAGTCAACTTCTCATGTTCGCTCTTTAATTCACCCATGCTTTCTTTCTCAGCTTCCTTTTGTTCTACCTCAGCTGTTTTCATAACTTCTTCCCTTTCTACTTTTGGCTGTGACTCTCTAACTGTCACTACAGCTGTCTCTTCAGCTTTGGTATCCGCCATATTGCCTGCTTCTGAGGTAATCTTCTTCTGTCGTCTGGTAGCCATTTTTCAATAACTTTTACCTCACAATTTATTCTCAAAGTAGTCTTAAGGCACTTGATCAGTTTTTAAACGCATCCCACCGCTTGCCGCCAATTGTAACGAAGCGCATATAATCAAGGAGGGAATTAAACTCAGGCCTCACTTATTGGAAAGAATATATTGTAGGGGAGGCCAATTATTTGTAAACTAGGGTAGCTGCCACCAATCGTGAGGTATATGGGTTATCAATGATAAGATTTGGCTTCACAGACGCAGATTGACTGAGATGAAACGGTCTTTAACAAAAGAGAACAAGTTTATTTTGTACAAAGCGTGTGGTTACGAGTTGTTGAATGACTTCTGGAACTTTAAGTAACACTTAGTTTGTAATACAGTTCACTCTTTCAAATGATACAACTTATAGCAACTGTTAGTGAAATGTAGCACTTTGCTGAGCAATGTTTCCTGAGGTGAATAGCTTTCTAATTTGATCTGTCCTTGATCAAACTACTGATCTCTAGTCTTCTCTCGACTAGCGATCTTAACTAGCTTTCTTTAGCCTTCCCTGACTAAAGAAACTATCTAGGTTTCTCCCTCCCGCCTTCCTAGGCTGAAAAACCTACTGCTATTCCCTCTCACTGCTCTTCCACTAAACTACTATCTCCGACGGCTGACTGAAACGACCTCCTAACTGGAACTGCTCACTCCGAGCTCCAAACCCTAACTCCTCACTCCTCGGAACCTAAAACCTAACTGAACATTAACTGTCGTTTTTCAAACTCTCCCCTCTAAGCTCCTCCCACTTCTCTCTCTACTGCATCGTCTCCATGGCAACGCACTCCTCTGACTTAGGCCGCTCCAGCATTACTGCAGCCAATCTAAACACAAATACAGTTAAAATCATATAACTTATAATCAACTTCTGTACAAAATCATATCAGGAGAAAATAAAAGTAGTCAGCTATCAAAAAGACCTCTTGAAAAAGTCTTAGCTTGTTACTGGAAGAAAAAGAGACAAAGAATCACACTGGCTTTCTTTGGAGGACAGTTCCAAACACTGGGAGCAACCAAAAGGAAGGCCATCACATTTCGACTAAGCCTCATATCTATCAAGCACATTTGTCAGAGTAGAGGGCTCAAGAAGGAACTCTCTGAAAACCCAGGAAGCCTCATATGAAGAGGTATGGCGCCCAGTTAGGTAGACAGTAGAGATGGATACGTTTGACTTGGATGTTGTGTAACTCATTATAGAGTCGGATAAAAGGCAGAACAAGCAGAAAAGAAGGGCTTCTCC